CTGTAGGGCTCATCCGCCCTAGATTCCCTGGATTTTCAGTTCCTATCTGTACCAGTGTACATCCTCTGGTCTAGCCAGACTTGCAAGGTCGAATTCAAGTCATGGTAGTGGGAGCAGGGAGGAAACATTCAGGAACTAGAGGAAAGTTGTATTTCTCATCGTTGTTACATCGCACCCTGACTGCCTCATCTCCCTGAGACCCCTCTGCAAGGGGATCTCCAGGAGACTGACACACTTTTCTAGGGTATTTTTCCTAAGGAAAAACCCAGAAGTTTCTTTTATGGGTTTGAGAAGATGTGGCAATCTCAGGCTCAACTATGAGGTCGTAGGTGCAGTAGATATTATTTTCATTCTTTGATAACTTTCCAACAGAGATAAAAAGACTGAAGGCTTGAGGTTCAAAATGGGAAGTCAATAAATGTTAGCAAAATTACTTTCATCTATGTACAAAGGAAAATGCTAACAGAGAAAAGGAATTGTCTCATTTTGTTCTATAGCTCACGCCACTGATCTATTTGACGTATATACAGATATTTTAGAAAATCTCAAAGAAAAATATGAGTAAAGAATGGTAATGAAAGTCTAGATGTCAGCACTGAAGATAAAGCCCAGGGAGAGTGGCAGGTATGCCCAGGCTGCACAGGATCAGACTAAAAGGGAAAGAAAGAGTGGACAGCATCCTGGCCCACCAAGATTCGAGGATGGCAATCCCACTCAGAGCTGCCAATGTACAGAGAGGATTGTAGGGTGGTCTTACCATGAGACATGAGGTCCCCTTACTGACCCACAGCACTACTGGGGGCAGCACTGGAGCACAGTGCAGGAATTGTGCCTTGTCTGACCACCCCACACCCGGATGGTAACATGAAGGCAGCAGAAAGGGGGGCAAAGTGACAAAGTCCTGGAGGAATTCTAAAAACAGACATTGGACTTGGGGGACAGGGCTTGGCACTGCATTAGACCCAATCAGAAAACATCCATAAGGGTCAGCAGACAGACCGGGAGCTATTCATAAGCTATTTTTGTTTCTTTTTTTTCATGTCTATCTATATAAGATAGGTATGATAAAGGATCCCAAGGAGAAAACAACAGGACCAATGGTTCCCAGGGGGCAGGGGGTGGGGAACAGACCCAGGGACAAGGGAACAACAAGAGATAAAAAATCGATGGTGAAGAGGGCATAGAATGCCTGGTGGGGTTCAATCTATACTTCCGAGAGGAAGTACAGAGAGCCTAATGAAGGTCAAACATGATAGTGGGACAGGAGGAAAGTACATAAAAGGAAACAAAGGAAAGAACTAGGAGGCAAAGGACATTTATAGAGGTATAAACATAGGCATGTACATATGTAAATATATTTATATATAGTGATAGGGATACAGGTCTATGTACATATATTTGTAGGTTAAGTATTAAGGTAGCAGATGAACCTTGGGCCACTACTCAAGTCCTCCCTCCCTCAACACAAAAACACTTTGTTTTAATAACCTGGTATTCTGTGACGCTCACCTTCCCGACACTATCGCTGAAGACAAAATGGGCGCATAAGCAAATGTGGTGAAGAATGCTGATGGTGTCTGGCTATTGCAAGATACAGCATCTGGGGTCTTAAACCCCTTGAAATTAAACAAGTGACCATCTAGCCGGGAAGCAACAAAGTCCACATGGAAGAAGCACGCCAACCTGTGTGATCACAAGGTGTCAATGGGATCAGGTATCAACCTGATCAACCATTTTGATGTGGACTAGGGGGATCAGAATGGAAACCCAAAGCTCATCTGCAGACAATTGGACATGCCCTTACAGAAGTGTCACAAGGAAGGGATGAACAAGCCAGGATACAGCACCAGGATATAGCACCAATGAAACACACAACATTCTTCTAGTTCTTCAATGCTTTCTTCTCCCCACTATTATGACCCTAGTTCTACCGTACAAATCTAACTAGACCAGAGCATGTGCACTGGTAGATAAGAGCTCTCAACACATAATCCAGGACAGATAAGCCTCTCAGAACCAATAATGAGATTA